CTTGCAAATCACATATCTAATAAAGGTTTAATATCCAGAATATATAAAGAACTAAAAACTCAACAACAAAAAGACAACCCAATTAAAAGATGGGTGAAGAACTTGAACAGACATTCCTCCATAGGAGATATACAAATGGCCAATAAACACAGGAAAAGATGCTCAACATTATCAGTCATTAGGGAAATACAAATTAAAACCACAAAGAGATACCACTTCATACCTATGAGGATGGCTATAATTTAAAAAAAAAGAAGAGGGTGCCTGGGTGGCTCAGTCGGTTAAGCGTCCGTCTTCAGCTCAGGTCATGATCTCACAGTCCGTGAGTTCGGGCCCCGAGTCGGGCTCTGTGCTGACAGCTCAGAGCTTGGAGCCTGCTTTGGATTCTGTGTCTCCCTCTCTCTCTGCCCCTCCCCTGCTCATGCTCTGTCTCTCCCTGTCTCAAAAATAAATAAAAACATTAAAAAAAATTTTTTTTTTAAAAAAAGAAGAAAAGAATAAGTGTCGGTGAAGACACGGAGAAATGCTCCTACATCATTGGTGGGCATGTAAAATGGTACAGCTGCTGTGGAAAACAGTTTGATAGCTCGTCAAAAAAGTAAACGTAGAATTACCACAGGACCCAACAATTCCACTCCTAGATATATATACCCAAAAGAACTGAAAGCAGGGCCTCAAACAGAGAGCTATATGCCAATGTTCATTGCAGCACTATTCACAATTGCCAGAGGTGGAAATAACCCAAGTGTCAACGAAAAGATGAGTGCATACACATACAGCGGAATACACACAAAACGGAACGGAGTCCTGATAACATGCTGCAACACAGATGAACCTTGAAAACATTATGGCTAAGGGAAATAATCAAGAAAAAGAACAAATATTGTGTGATTCCACTTATATGAAATATCTAGAATAAGCCAATGGAGGAAGTTGAAGAGAGGAAACCAGAGGCTGTGGGAAGGAAGAATGGGGGTTATTGTTCAATGGGTACAGTTTCCGTTGGGGTGATGAAGATGTTTTGGAAATAAGATAGTGGTGATGGCTGCACAACTTTGTAAGTATAGTTAGTGCCAGTGGATTGTGTATTTAAAAATGGTTAAGATGGTAAATTTTATGTTATGCGTTTTTTTACCACAATAAGAAAAAGGTAAAATGGCAAATTTTATGTTAATACCTTTTACCACAAAAATATTTTTAATTCAGTTTCTACGTTTCACTAGCCACACTGTAAGTGCTCAATAGCCACATGTCACTGGTGGCTACCAACCAGTGCACAGCCCAAACAGAAAACATTCACAACACCACAGACAATTCTATTAGATAGTTCTTATCTAGAAGCTAAAACCACCAGTTTTTTTGATGTTTATTTTTTTTTGAGACAGAGAGAGAGAGATATACTGTGAGTGGGGGAGGGGCAGAGAGAGAGGGAGACACAGAATCCGAAGCAGGCTCCAGGCTCTGAGCTGTCAGCACAGAGCCCGACACGGGGCTCAAACTCGTGAACCCCAAGATCATGACCTGAGCCAAGTTGGCCGCTTAACGGACTGAGCCACCTACGCACCCCTAAAACCACCAGTTCTAGATGAGAATAATATGATTAATATGTGAGGAAAACAGGGAGAAAACTGCACTCAACAGAAGAGCAGTTCTAGAGGCTGCCTCAGCATTCAGTTGCATTTAAAAAGCATAAATAAGCAGTGGCTGCACATCTTGCCGGGCAAAGAAAGAATGTGTGGGGCCAGCACATCCTCCAAAGGAGAAAGAAAAAGAAAAACTTAAGAAAAAGAAAAAGAAAAATTTTAAGAAAAAGAAAAAGAAAAAAGAAAAGAAAAAGAAAAATTTGGGGAATAGGTAACAAATAAAACAACGTAAAGAAACCGTGACCTGAGTCATAAGTGATAGTTTTGGATCTATCTTCTCTGGGTCTTGGTTTCCTCACATGTATAAAAAACAGGGGGTTCAATTAGATGTTTTCTAATATCCTTCCAGGCCCCCAAGTGGATAAGTCTAAATTATTAACTTTCTCATCTCATTGGTACCTTTAAAAAAAAATGAGGGGGCGCCAGGGTGGCTCAGTCGGTTAAGCATCTGACTCTTGATTTCGACTCAGGTCGTGATCTCACAGCTCGTGGGATCGAGCCCTGTGTTGGGCTCTGCGCTGACAGCATGGAGCCTGCTTGGGATTCTCTCTCCCTCTGCCCCTCCCTCTCTTTCTCTCTCTCTCAAAATAAGTAAATAAACTTTAAAAAAAAAAATGAGGAAAGACTGCCTAACTAATTTTTTTAGGATCAGCCTGAAAGGGTAAGAGTAAAATTCAACTGGGCTAAACTCTAGTTGTGCTCAACACCTGCTGCACATTGGCAACAACCGGGGACTTAAAACATACGTCAAAGCCTGTGCTTGGACCCCACACCAACTTTAGTTGAGTCTGTGAGGTGGTGCCCTGGCACTTGGGAGTTTTTAAAAGCTCCCCGAAGTATTCTGATGAAAATGAGAGTTAAGAACCACTATGCTAGAATGCACATAACTGTACACTTCAGGCAAGAAAAAGTCCTAGAAAACGTTTTCCTCTCTCCTTGTCCGGCCACCAAATCTACATCCACACAGCTGGCAACTGACAGGATAGGGGTGGTATGTATTGCAAATACAAATCCTCTGAATTTGACTTTTATGATCCAGTAGAATATGTCTGAAAAAGAGCCAAGTACAAAAGAAATGGCGTATTACTAAAATAGGAATTTTGAAATGAATTTCCATGTATTAAAAAAAAAGCCCATGGTAAAAAGCCTAAATGCTAGGTTTTCTATCTAAAGCTCACAGAAGGAAACGAAGTATGCACAAAAAGGGAAGACTTCTGGGGCGCCTGGGTGGCTTGGTCAGTTAAGCGTCCAACACTTGATTTCAGTTCAGATCAGGATCTCACAGTCATGAGATCGAGCCTCACGTCAGGCTCCACACTGACAGCACGGAGCCTGCTTGGGATTCTCTCTCCCTCTGCTCCTACCCTGCTTGCACACATGTGCACACACTCTGTCTCTGTCTCTAAAATAAGAAAAAATAAAGGGAAGATGTCTTACAGGTTGAAAGTTAGCATTCTAAAAGAGTCAAGCCATCAGGGAGTAAGTAAGTCTGTGAGATAAAACCATAGGGCACAATTGCTTTAAAACCTTTCTACCAGTAGCCCGCCAAGGGGATCCATCCTTTACTACTTGTCACACAATTTAAATAAAACAAACAAACAAAAACTTTTAATGATTCACAGGCAGACAGTAAAGTGGGAAGGTAAAGGGAAAAAGTATTTCCCAAAAGTCAGTAATGAAGATGATGGCTAACATTTCCTGCCAGGCTCTAACTACTTTCCAGATACTGTCTCACTGAATTCTCACAACTGCCTTGTAAAGTACATACTATTAGCATTTTATGGTTAAGGAAATCGAGAGACAGAGGTTAGAAAACACACAGCGGGGAGTGTAAGAGGCAGGATCGAAACCCAGGAAGTCTGATTCCAGAGTATGTGTTCTCAAACAGTACACCCTACTGTCTCTCTCCACTACTCTGCATGTCAATGCAGGCACGCGTGTCCAAAGCTGACCGCAGGTAAATAAAGAAGAGGAAGGGGAGGGAGGAATGGAGAAATGCATCAGAGTAGTGTGCTTGGGAAGAGAGACATTAGTCTGCTGGATGGGGCCTCTGAGGAAAAGGGGAATTAAAAATCTCCCTAATTCTCTTAGCTTGGACTATAATGTATATACCACATTTCTAAGATGCAGATATAAGGTGAATGAAACAAACACTAGGTATTTAAACCAAGAATCCGGGACCGAGGAGCAGTAAGGTGAGTTCAGTACAGGGAGACAGAACTCTATCAATGCAGAAATAGTCAGGGAAATACACAACTTTGCCTGAGGGACAGAAACTTTTCAGTTCATTAGGAAAGCACATTTTTCTTCAGCGGAAGATAGATAGAACATGTGGAGAGATAGCATGAACATTCACAGTCACCACAAAAGTATATCCCAAACTGTAAGCAAGTAAACGGACATTCTGGTATAAATTCAATGAGTTTGCTTAGGTGAGGGTCTGTTAAAACAGTTTTTAGGTCTCTAAGCATGATAGAACACATTCATAGCATGACTGCAGCATTTTTAAAGCCCAGCCAAACCCACTATAGGCTAGTCAGATGAATTTTACAAAAATCTTCAAACCTAATTCTAGACACATATTTCAACATTCTTTCTCACTTGAACATCTTCCCCAAGTGAAAGTAATGGGACTTCTAACAAACCACATTTGGATGATACTACTTCTAAAGCATGAAATGGGCATACAGCAGAAGGGAAAGGGCCTAAAATAAAAGGGCCATGGTAAACCATGGGCTAGATGGTAAATCTGGCAGTAAATTAAGGTTTGGCTACAATCTAGATAAAAACAAAATTGTGCTGGAAAAAAAAATTTGTGCCATCACATGGCAGGATGCCCTTATCATGTCTTCCTTTTATTATTTGTTGTTAAACAACAAGTATAAAGAGAGTCAGCAGGTGCATCATTATAGGGATGAAATATAATCTTTTTAACATGTAAATCAAACATAAAAGCTAAAGACACCCCTGATTTATAAATGGGTGTCTTGCTCTCATTAAGTGTTTGTACAAGTAGACTAAACCAGTCATTGAGATCTGGAGCCTCTCAGGAATACGCTCAGGTTGCAGAACTGCTGTGGGAAGATTAATGTAATAAAGAACTCACTGCAAAAGATGACAGGTGAAAGATATAAAGAGTTCCCCAGCTTGTGAGGAATTTTTCCAACTCACAAGTAAAATTGAAGGCACTTTGTTGGCAAAGCAAGACACTTAGCCAGAGGGCAGATCTCATAACGCATGTCTCAACTATATAAGCAAGTAACTGAGAGCTTCCCTAGAGATAGGTAAAAATGATATACTTCCATGGACACTGGAATACAGATAAGAAACAAGAATCCAAAACTTTTTAAAGGATACGGTCTGTACCAGGAAACAACGTTCTTCCAGTCAACAGCTCGGCCATTATGCATCCCACTGACCAAATATCAACTGGCAAAATTAAAGAGAAAAGGGCATACAATGTCACTGTTATCATACCTGACCACAAATGGAACTATAACTAGAAGTGAAATACTCAAATTAATATTTAAGACATTTGAGGTCCACGATTCATGCTCATCTTTATGGAAGTTAGCTTATTAAGACCTTCACCCCACTAAAGGGCTTCATAGGTAGGATGTCAAAACATAATTAAGGCAAAGAGAAATAAGCTGTTCACAAAGGGGTAGAGACTCTTATTGGTGGAAATGGTGGATTCTCCCAAGTCATGTTGAGAGGTTACAATTATGAACCTATTGTCTTCAGATAGAAGTACTCACAGAATACGCTGGAAGTCTAAATAAATAAAAACTCAACTGCTAAATCATAAAGTTTGAAAGCTGTGTACAACACCACCCCCCTTCTCTATCTGAGCAACTGAAATATTTTCTGTCGACTTTAAAAGGATTACTGATGGAAAAAAAAGATGCTTCCTCCCATTCCCACTACCTCCGCTTCTGAGAATCCCAAATATGCTCAACATGCTGACCAAGAAGGTGCTAAATAACCAATAAAAGCAATACCTGTCTGGTTGTAATGCATCCAGTTCAGCATGATCTCAGGAGCCCTGTACCACCTAGTGGCCACATAGCCTGTCATTTCATCATCTGTATGTCGAGCCAGTCCAAAATCCAAGATCTAAGGGAGAGAAGAGAAATCAGGCACTGGAACAGTCAGGATCCTAAGTCTCATAAGGCAGGAGGGAAAAAACTCTACTGCCTCAGAAACGGGAAGAACAATACAGCACTTTCATAAACATACTTCCAAGTCTATGTTTGGAATGCATGATAAACACAGCAATTTAAAAAACGAAATTACGGGGCGCCTGGGTGGCGCAGTCGGTTAAGCGTCCGACTTCAGCCAGGTCACGATCTCGCGGTCCGTGAGTTCGAGCCCCGCGTCGGGCTCTGGGCTGACAGCTCAGAGCCTGGAGCATGTTTCCGATTCTGTGTCTCCCTCTCTCTCTGCCCCTCCCCCGTTCATGCTCTGTCTCTCTCTGTCCCAAAAATAAATAAACGTTGGAAAAAAATAAAAAAATAAAAAAATAAAAAATGAAATTACAAAAAGCAAAACAAAAATGTTACTCCAGGCATTTACCCAAGAGCAATGAAAACATACAGCCACACAAGGGCTTGCATATGAATATTCATAGCAGCTTTACACAGCCCCAAACTGGAATTGAAGCAAAGGTCTATCAACAGGTAGATGGATAGACAAATCGTGGCATATTCACAAAATGAATATTGTGTTCAATATTTTGTGAATATTGAATTCACAAAAATTCAGCAACAAAAAGGAATGAACTACTGATATGACACAGATCTCAAAAATATTATACTAAGCAAAAATCAGATACACACACACAAATACTGTATGATTCCATTCATGTGAAATTCCAGAAAAAAATAAATCTGTTCTATGGTGTCAGCAATTAGATCAGTGGTCCAGGATTAGGGGTAGAGGAGTAGGGAGTGGCTCGGAAGGAGCATAAGTCAACTTCTGGAAGTGAAAAAGTATTCTTTATTTTAATTGTGTTGGTGGTTAAATGGATACATAAATTTATCAAGTGTGCACTTAAAATGATTCTTTTTATTACATTTAATTATGTTTAAAAGATTGATTAAAAATGAGAAAAAATATTCTAAAGCTGCTTGCTCTCTATATATTTATATTTATCCCCTATTTGAATTATTTTGAATGAGTGGCTTTTGCCATTCTTATCTTAGGAAACTAATCTAGTAATTATCTCTTCAGGATTGCTTACTTAATATTCAGACTATGATTTTCCTTTATTATAACTAACAAATTAAATTTCTAATGTAACTTTATTTTAGAATGAAAATACGACACCTGATGCCACCTTCAATATCCTTTAAACTAAGACTTATTAAGTCTGTGATTCAAACTCTGATATTTCTAAGGAAAATATGAATTTTCAGACAAAAAGTCATGATTTTATAAACCCATTTACTACATAAGTCTGCCTGGTTAGTCAAACATGTAATTACAAGTGGAAACAAACAATTCCCACTGTTTCTTCATCTTACCTTCAGCTCACAGTCTTCATTCACAGCTAGATTACTAGGTTTCAGGTCCTAGGAAGCAAGTCCAGAGAGGCCATGATCAACTCTATGATTCATGCTAGGTTTTCTCCCCACAGGTAATGATGAAGATCCAAACATAAAAGTAAGACTTTATTCAGCTATAAATGATCTCCATCTATAGTCAGTCACTACCTAGTCCTAATTAGCCTTATATAGTAAAAACCACACACATTTCTTTAATCAGTTTAAACTTAGAGTAAAGTTATAATCCATAGTTCAATGGCTAAAATAAGCTTAGACTAGGATCTTGGCCACATGCCGGTCCTCTCCACTTCAGCGCTCCCTCCCCAAATAATGCCATCAAAATCATAATACATTACCCTGTGAATTATGTCAGCTGAATGTATATACTGTGAAAGAGAAAAAAGTCAGTTAAATCAAAAAGTTATCTCCAACCTCTTATGGCCATATGACATAGTTAAAGTATATTTTCATGAATCAGTAAGAACTACTAGTATTAAAAAGTAGCATTAGAAATGAGAACAAGTAATTATTAGTAATCTGAACATTTATCATAACTATGATTTCTATACTATCAACTCTATTCATAGAGTTGAAGTATAAGTGAAACAGCTTTCAACCTATTTTCTCGCTAGTGCTCTGGAGCTCACTACGGACTCAAAGCTGCTAAATGTCAATGTCAAAGGTGCTTTAATTTTAAAACATTACTTATCTGCCCTTCCCACAAACAAATTAGCATCCTAGAGGAGGTTTTTAAAGTTTCAACATGACTCTGACCAGACATTAGATTAGATCAAGAGATTATGACTACTCTTTAGAAGGAAGAATGAAGAGTCCTGAGCTCTCAGACATACATACTGAAATATCTATTATGGGTGGAATGATATGATGTCTGGACTTGTCTTAAAAGAATCCAGGGCTTGGGGAATACAACAGAAACAAGATTGGCCATATGTTGGTAGCTGTGGTCATTGAGTAAACGCAGGGGTTCATTACAGTATAATTGTACTTGTGATTTTATGTTTGAAATTTTCCATAAGAAAGGGTTTTTTTTTTTTTTTTTTCTTTCTTCTTCTTCTTTCTCTTAAGCCTTGAGATGGAGAAAGGGAGACTATACCTTGAGACCTCGGAGAATCTGGTAGATAAGGAACTGAACATGGTCATCCGTAAGCTTTTGACATTTCACAATGTTGTTCAGATCTGCTCCCATGAGATGGGTCACCAGATACCTAGAAATTAATGGAGAGTTACACAATAATCCAGAACCCCTGTGAAAGCTCTTAATTTCATAAGACTTCTAGAGGTATTTAATAAGGCAATTGCCTAAAAGGCAATCTACTGAATAGAAGATATCTGCAAATGATATATCTGATAAAGGGTTAGTATCTAAAACATATAAAGCACTGATACAACTGAACACACCAAAAGCAAATAATCCAATTAAAAAATGGGCAGAAGATATGAACAGACATTTCCCCAAAGAAGACATACAGATGGCCAACAGACACAGGAAAAGATGCTCAACATCACTCATTATCAGGGAAATGAAAATCAAAATCACAATGAGATACCACCTATGACTGTCAGAATGGCTGGAATAAAAAATTCAAGAAACAGGTGCTGGTGAGGATGTAGAGAAAAAGGAACCCTCATGCACTACTGGTAGGAATGCAAACTGGTGCAGCTGCTGTGGAAAACAGTATGGAGGTTCCTCAAAAAATTAAAAATAGAACTATCATATGTCCAGTAATCACACTATTGGGTATTTACCCTCAAAATACAAAAACACTAATTCAAAGGGATACATGCACCCCTTTGTTTATAGCAGCATTATTTACATCAGCCAAGGTATGGAAGCAGCCCAAGTGTCCATCAACTGATGAATACAGATGTGGTATATATATACACAGTGTAATATTTCATATACTATATGTGGTATATACATAGTGCAACGACATAGAGCTAGAAAGTATAATGCTAAGCAAAATAAGTCGGTCTAAGAAAGACAAATACCATATAGTTTCACTCATATGTGGAACTTAAGAAAACAAATGAATAAAGGAAAAAGAGAGAGAGAGAGAGAGAGAGAGAGAGAGAGAGACAAACCAAGAAACAGACTCTTAACTACAGAGAACAAACTGATGGTTACCAGAGGGGAGGTGGGTAGGGGGATTGATGAAATAGGTGATAGGGATAAAAGAGTACAGTTATCATGATGCACAAAAGAGAAGAGGAGAGGAGAGGAGAGGAGAGGAGAGGAGAGGAGAGGAGAGAAGAGAAGAGAAGAGAAGAGAAGGGAAGGGAAGGCAAGGCAGTAAGTATGACAGTGACAGCTAACAACTTAGTAAATACATGGGGGGGCTCATTACCCCTATTCTAACTTTACCACCTTCCATCTAGTTTTCTAAAAATTTCTATAATCCTTCTTACTAGATGTATCTTTTCCTAGGTTCTCTGAAGAAAGAGACAAGAAAAAAGCAAAGATGAAGATCAGAATGATGTATGTGTCAATATCAGTTTTTTAAAAAAAATGTTGCAAGAGAAATACACAGTGCAACTAAATACATGGCCATGATAAAGTATCTTGATTTTTAAATCTATCATTGTTATTTTCACCTCATTATAAACCAAGTTGTAGGCACTAAAATAGGAATATTTTTAAATTTTCAAATTATAATTCTTTTTCAGGATTCACTGGTAAAAGGATATTGTTCACTGACAATATTCCTGCATTTACTTTAAAGGAAGGAGGAATATTATCTATAAAGCAAAGTGGGGCATTCCAGAAGCTCTCCTCACAGGTGTGGTCCTGGTTATTAACCTTACATGGAAAGATTAGGGAAACGATTACATTCAAGTCCAACAGGTTCACCACAAATATTCTAGATGCAATGCCTTACCCACTCATTACTGTATTACACAGCTATGGGAACATAAAAACCAGATCAGTAGTAAAAAGGCTGGATTTTTAAAAATCAAATTAGGTTTTCTCTGCTGTGTAAGAATCACTACTCGTTCCTGAGGCTGAATAATAATGTGTACCAGTTGAGCTATTACAAATGCTTTCGTTTCATTTCTATGTTTATATTTTATAAATTTAGAGGAAAAGACACTAGGACAGTACATTTAAATCTATTAATGCGTTATATAAATATGTGCATGATCTCTCTTCATACACACACACACCCCACCCCACATCACACCACATCACACATTACATTGTTACTTTCTCTCCTTAAAGAGGAACTGAATTTTTCTCCTGTTTCGTAATTTCCCTTTTGGGCGGATATGGTCAGTTCCCAATTTCACAAAGATCAAAAGAACTTAGCCTAGATATAAAAGTAAGACTTTAGCATTTCATATTTTTAAAGGTTGCACAATTACACGTCCTTGAGGAAAGGGCAGGCTCTAAATGTAATTTAAAGAGTGAATTGGGGGGCGCCTGGGTGGCGCAGTAGGTTAAGCATCCGACTTCAGCCAGGTCACGATCTCGCGGTCCGTGAGTTCGAGCCCCGCGTCGGGCTCTGGGCTGATGGCTCAGAGCCTGGAGCCTGTTTCCGATTCTGTGTCTCCCTCTCTCTCTGCCCCTCCCCCGTTCATGCTCTGTCTCTCTCTGTCCCAAAAATAAATAAATGTTAAAATAAAATAAAATAAAATAAAATAAAGAGTGAATTGGACTTTTTGAAAGGCTTCATTAAAGGTAGTTCTCTTTTAAGAGATGTTCCAAGCTCAACATAACAACCAAATGTAGTCAGTGCTTGCTCTGTGTCAAGCGCTGTGTATCATGCCTGTGTCTCATGTATTCTTCCCGACAACTCTATAAGGTAAGTCTCATTAGCCTTGCCATTTCACTGATAAGGAAACAGAACAAGGATATGTAACTTGCTCAAGGTTAAAACAGTGATAATATCAAGGGTTGAATCAAAAACTGTTTGCTCTCAGGACCATGGTCTTTTTTTTTTTTTTTTAACTTTTTTTTTAATGTTTATTTTTGAGAGAGAGAGAGAGAGCTAGCATAAGCAGGGGAGGGGCAGAGAGAGAGGGAGACACGGAATCCGAAGCAGGCCCCAGGCTCTGGGCTGTCAGCACAGAGCCCGATGAGGGGCTTAAACCCACGAACCGTAAGATCATGACGTGAGCTGAAGTCAGATGCTTAACCAACTAAGCCACCCAGGCGCCCAGGACCATGGTCTTAATCACAGCACATACTGCTTCCAAATTCTTCCATTTGACCTCAAATGTAAGTCAAAAGAATGATCTTCTTTAAAAAAAAAAAGTTTTCTAAGTGTCACAATAATCAGGGAAGCAGTATCTCTAGATAATTTCCATAATAATTCTCAATTAAGTAATTTGACAGTAAGTATCAAAGTAAGTAACTTTGATACTTACTATCAAAGTTAATCTTTACTGAAAGAAGAAAGTTGGCAAAAGCCTAGCAATATTCCATCTTAATCACAGTCACTGTATTTTTTTAGCCCCAACTAACACATAATCTGACAAATATGAGAATGTTATCAATAACTGGTTAATATTTTGAAATCAGGACTTCTCCCAGAAGATCAAGTATAATGGTTGCCATATGCATAATATCAATTATGACAAAATGTAAGGCTCAGGTTGAGGAAGAGAGAATCCAATTTCTATTTTATAAGTGTTTTGCAAAGAATTACATTTTATGACTTTGGATAGAACAAGGATTATTCTCTCGATTTTAAAAAATAATTTTAAGGAGAAAAGGTAAACAAAGAGAACATTGTTCTACATGATTCCACTTAGAATCTCCCTTGAAATAAAACCTAAAAATCTTAACTCTCTAATAAGCCTGTTCTAGTTCACAAAGATGTTAAGCAGTATTATCAAAACAACCATAGTAATTTCAAATATAACTATTGCGTTTAAATGGTTACCAGTGACTTAAGAAATCCTATACAGCCAGGGGTGCCTGGATGGCTCAGCTGGTTAAGTGTCCGACTTCGGCTCAGGCCATGATCTCATGGTTCGTGACTTCAAGCCCCGCGTCTGAGCTGACAGCTCAGAGCCTGGAGCCTGCTCGAGATTCTGTGTCTCCCTCTCTCTCTGACCCTCCCCTGCTCACACTCTGTCTGTCTCTCTCTCTCTCAAAAATAAATAAACATTAAGAAAAAAAATTTTTTTAAGAAATCCTATATAGCCAGAAGACCACTGAGTGCACAGCCTGAGAGACAAAGAGCATGCTTTTAATTAGAATATTCCACCACTGTCCCCATCAGAAACCACATCTATTTTATCAGTAAAATTTCCAGGCAGAGGGTGAGACTGTCAAAACATTAAATTAATGAGTCTATATAGTAATAACTATCATGCATTGCTGCCAGGCTACAATTAAATAAACTAAAAAGCATTCATGGCAGAAATGTCTTGCAGGGAGTAACCTAATCACTGTATGTTGTTTCCACGAATCCCAAAGACTAATTCACAACAACCAATTGTCAAATTCCAGCTCATCATATACTGAAAGGTTTCAAAAATAAACCTTCCAACAGTGGACAAAAGCAAGCATCATGCAAAGTTACTCAATGTTTATGGAAGAGGTATGAACTTTTAAAACGGTGAACAAGGGAGAAGAAAATGTAGATGAACACATTTTGAATAAGTCTATTCCAAAAGGAGCATTCATGGATAACCACATTTCTACAGCATTTGTCTCTGGAAAGGAAATTTAGTTACATTTTGGTAAAGACATGACTAGTATTGTCAGTGTTCATAATACCTCAAATAAATTAACAGAGGTTTGACTTGAGAAAGCCGGAATGCTATCTAGTTGTCATCTTTTTTTTCTCTCTGTTTATTTTTAAGCTAGAAAGGAAAATCAAATGTAGAACAATTCTGATGGACTTTTCAAGGAAATTAACTACCACAGATTTGGGGCCCAAGCCTCGTCTGGATTCCAAAATACATGGTTTCCTCAACCCTAATTGGACAAAGAAATAAGTTGAAAGTTTTTTTTTTCCATAAAAGGAATATTTGACAAAATTAAAGACATTTATTTAGGGTAAGAGAGATATTTTTCTCAAATAACAAGATGAGTTATAGATACCCTATTTCAAGAATTTATAACTCACCCAGTCACAAAGAATGAGGACCATATAACCATCTCTCTCTTTAAATGAGAACCTAGGGCACAAGTGGTATGGAGTGGTAAAAATTATGATAAATCTTAAATTCAAATGACAAGTTCCTTTTGGCTACA